TGTGTACACACACACACACACACACACACACACACATATATGATGGATCATACAGAATACATATTTAATTTTTTTATAAGTATTTTATTGTATGCCAGTGAGATTATACCAGTTTACCAACAATATGGTGTTTCCTAGTGCCCTACCCAGCATTTTTTATATTTATATTTAAATATAAATATATAAGTATTTAAATTTATGTGTTTAATATTATTTATTATTATATTGCTTATTGTATTTAATGTTATTTATATTTATTTAAAATATTTAAATGTAAACAAATATAAAAATAGGAATTGGAAAAAAGAAATGTGTATGTGCTTGCAAACATGTTTATGCATATATAAACAAGCATATTCTTTTTCTCTTTTTTTTGTTCAAATGGTAGCTTCCCCACCTTGCTTTTGTCATTCAACAATATATTTTGAGGATCAATACCTAAAGTAAAAAGGCTCCTTTAGTATCTTTTCTTGACCTCATGGTATTCCATTGAGTGGCTAAATTATTTTGTTTCTAATGTTACTATTGATGCATGTATAATACTTAAATATATCTGTAGTATAAATTTTTAAAATACTTGCTTGGTCAAAGGGTATAATTTTGATATTACCATATTTGTCTTTGTAGAATTTTATAAATTTACATCTCTATCTCCAATATATAAGAATATCTATTTCTCCACACTTTTTCTAATATGATATACTGTCAGACTTCTGGATGTTACTTATCTAATAGGTTAAAAAATAGAGCCATCATGTAATTTAACTATGAATCTGTGCTCATATATTTGTATTTTGTTTTCTGTAAATTGTCCATATCTTTTGCCTATTTTTCCTTACTTTGTGAACTTTTATTTAGTTGTAGGAGTTCTTTATTAATTAATGAAATTGTCCCCTTCATTTGCCATATAATTTGCAACAATTTATACCAGCTTTTTATTTGTCTTTTGACTGTTGTTATAGAAGTTATGGCCATGCAGAAATGTGAGGTTTTATTTATTTATTTTTTTAAGTTGGAGTCTCACTCTGTCGCCCAGACTGGAGTGCAGTGGCCGCTCCCGGCCACCGCAGCCTGGACCTGCTGGACTCCGGTGATCCTTCCACCTCAGCCTTCCGAGTAGCCGGAATTACAGGCGCGTGCTACCACGCTTGGCTAATTTTTGATTTATTGTAGAGATGAGGTCTCACCAAGTTGCCCAGGCGGATCTAGAACCTGCGGGCTCAGGCAATCCACTCACCTCAGCCTCCCAGAGGCAGGGGATTACAGGCTGAGCCACCGAGCCCAGCTGGTGAGGTTTTATTTATATTTATCTCTCTTTACTTTGATCATTTCTGAATTCTGTGTCCGTGTTAGAAAGTAATTCTCACCCTTTCCAAGACTGAAAAATCTTTCATGTAGAACTTTGTAGTTTCTTTTTGTTGTTAATTTTTTTTTACGTTTTAATTTTTGACCTACTATCAGTTGATCTAGGTTTGAGGTGTGGTATGGCTTCAGCTCTGTTTTTTTTTTAGATGACTCTCTATAATCCATTTATTGAATAAACAATTTTTTTCTGAATAGTTTGAAATATCACGTTTATTAAATGCTGAAACTATGCCCCATAATTATGCAGTTTGAATTATTATACCTTAATTACATAGTTATTGTTAAGAATGTTTCTGTTGATTCTTGGTTGGTTGCTTTTCATAGAAACTTTTTTTTTTTTTGAGTTGGAGTCTCACTCTGTCGCCCAGATTGGCATGCTCCCAGCCACCACAGCCTCGACCTGCTGGGCTCTGGCGACCCTTCCACCTCAGCCTTACAAATAGCCGGAACTACAGGTGCACGCTGCCATGTCCAGATAATTTTTTGATTTATTGTAGAGATGAGGTCTCACTAAGTTACCCAGGCGGGTCTCGAACCCGCAGACTCAAGCAATCCACTCACCTCAGCCTCCCAAAGCTCGGGATTACAGGCTGAGCCACTGACCTCAGCTCATATAAACTTAAAATCAACTCATCTAATTCCCAAATTACTCTGTTGGTATCTTTATGGAAGTTTTGGAATTGTGTTAAATGTAGTGACAATTGGCTGACCTCAGTGGCTCAGCCTGTAATCCCAACACTTTGGGAGGCCGAGGCGAGTGGAGTGTCTGAGCCCCGTGGGTTCGAGACCAGCCTGGGCAATTTAGGCCAGAAAGTTTCTACAATAACTAAAAAATTAGCCGGGAGTGGTAGCATGTGCCTGTAGTTCTGGCTATTTGGAAGGCTGAGGCAGAAGGATCGCCTGAGCTCAGTAGGTTGAGGCTGCAGTGACCATGCGTGTGTCACTGTACTCCAGTCTAGGCGACAGAGTGAGACTCCAACTCAAAAAAAAAAATGTAGTGGCAGTCAAAGAGAATCTGCATTTTTATAATTATTCTAGTCCAGAACATGTTTTAAAGGAATCATGTTTTAAAGCATCTCCAAACATATCACTCTTTTTCTCATTAAATTTATTCTTAGATGTTTTGTCTCCTTTGTCACTAGGTTGTATTAGTATGCTAGGACTACCATAACAAAATATCACAGACTGGGTAGCTTAAACAACAGAAATTTATATTCTACCAGTTCTGGAGACAAAGTCCAAGATCAAGATGCCAGCAGGATTGGTTTTCTCCAAGGTCTCCCTGTCTTGCAGCTGGTAACCTGCTTGCTATATCCTCACCTGGTCTTTTCTCTGTGTATACATCTCTGGTGTTTATATGCCCAAATTTCCTCTTCTGATAAGGACACCAGTCAGATTGGATTAGGTCTACTCACATGCGCTTCTTTATAACTTAATTACCTCTTTTAAGGCCCTACCTTCAAAAACAGTCACATTCTGAGGTATTGGGAGTTAGGGCTTCAGTAGATGAATTTGGATGAAGGAGACAGTTTCATTCATAACAATGGTAAATGAAGACTTTTCTTTCTTATATCTATGAATTGACTATTATAATAGTATGAAAGTTATTTCTATATTTTGTCTATCTAGCCACCCTACTTATAATCTATAATCATTTTTATTTTATTCTCTTAGTTTTTCCAGGTATAGGATTATGTTATAATAAATAGTGATCATGTTGTCTCCTCCTTTCTAGTTTTTTTAACCTTAATTTATTTATTTTGTCTAATTGCAGTCTGAAGCTGTTAAAAAAGATTAATTAATGAGTGGTGGCAGTAGATTTTCATCTTGTATTACTGATTTTAATGAGAATATTTCTAGATTTCTAGTACCTTTTGGACTAGTCCTTGATTGATTTATTTTATTTTTATTATATTGCAATTTTTAGAAATCAAGAATGGATATTTACTTTTCTCAATGGCCTTTTGGAATTCATGGAGATGATAGTATGTTTTTCCTTTGATCTAATAATAAGTTGAATTTATGAATAAATTTACAAGCATTGAACCATCCTTGCATTTCTATATTTGATATCTACTGGCACATTATTTTAATTTGCTGTTGAATTCTGTTTGTTTGCATTGAAATTCATAAGTGAGACACCTGTAAAAAGTTTTCTCTATAGAGCATTTGTTGAGTTAGCTACAGTTTTATGCTTGCTTTAAATAAAGAATTTAAGCCGGGCTCGATGGCTCAGCCTGTAATCCCGCGCCTTTGGGAGGCTGAGGTGAGTGAATTGCCTGAGCCCGCGGGTTCGAGACCCGCTTGGGCAGCGAGACCTCATCTCTACAATAAAATCAAAAAAATCAGGTGGGCGTGGTAGTGCATGCCTGTAATTCCAGCTACTCGGAAGGCTGAGGCGGAAGGATCGGAAGGATCGCCGGGGCCCAGCAGGCGAGGCTGCGGTGGCCGGGAGCAGCCACTGCACTCCAGTCTGGGCGACTGAGAGAGACTCCAACTCAAAAAAAAAAAAAAGAATTTAAATAGTTTTCTTTTTTGTGTTTTGGGGCAGTTTGGAATTATATGTTCTTCAGTGTTTGTTTGAACTTTCCCATGAAACTGTTGAGTCTAGTGGTTTTTCAGAGGAAATCATTCTTTGACAACTTTATTCTATAATTTATCTGTTTAAGGTTTTTTTAAATCTCCTCTGGAGTCAGTTTTGTTAGATTATATTTTCATATCCTTTGTTTTCATTAGTTTTCAAGCTCATTTGCATAGAATTGAGCAAAGTAATCTCTTACAGTTCTTTTAGTTTTACTCTCTGCTGCTGTTTCCTCATTACTATTTCTTTGTCTGTATATGTCTGTGTGTGTGTGTATTTGCTATTTACTTCCCTTTGTTGTTTTGATCAGACTATATATAGTCTATTATTTTTTTCCAACAATCAACTTTGGGTTTATTAATTAGTTCTGCTATTTTTTCCTACAATTACTTAATTTCTTTTATCTTTATTAATATTTCATTTTCTTTTCCTTAGTTTTGCTTTATTGATTGATAATACATTTGATATTCCTAGTTAGTCGCTAGTCTATTAATTTGATTTTATAGTTTTTTCTTCTGTAGAAGTTTTAAATTTTTAGTAGCCAAAACTATCAGTCTTTTCCTATTATGACTTCTTAGTGTCATATTACTCTTATAAGAAATCCTTCTGCATCACCACCACCACCCACCATTATTAAGATATTCTTTTTTTTCATACTTTAGAAGATGGCTAATGTCAGCCAACAGAAAAATACAGGGCTTTAGTATATAGCTTGTAAATTTACTATCAGATTTTCAGGAGTGTATTTTTTCCACGTAACAAGAAAATTACTTATAGAACTTTATAAATGAAAGCATCAAATTTGTAGAATTATTTTACTGTTGCATATCTGAAAGTTCCTATAATGGCCTTTAATAGAAAGGTTTTTATATTTATATGTATATATAATGTTTTTCTTTCACTTTTCACAGGTTACTCAAATGAGTCGTCCAGACCTGATTCTCTTTCTGATGAAATACCTGATGGCTCTCATAGTTGGTATTCCCTCCATTTTTTGGGTTGGAAGCAAAAAGACATGCTTTGAATGGGCCAGCTTTTTTCATGGTCGTAGGAAAAAAGAGTAAGTTTAAATAAATTGTCATGATGTTCACAAATATCACGTTTATGTCCATGTTTTATGTTGCTTATGTTAAAATGACTTGGATTTGGAGAATTATTCAAACAAGATTGTAACCTTGTCAGCAGCCTTCAGTTATGATTGGCACAGTAGTATGTCTTACTTAAAAACTGAAAACTTATTTTGAGAAGATGGCCAAGCTTGTGGTCATTATGTACTAATTCAGAATATTTGAAATGAAGTCCAATCTTTATGAAAAAAATTCAAATTGTCTTTTTTTCTTGTTTTTGTCTTTTGAGTTGGAGTTTCACTCTGTGGCCCAGGCTGGAGTACGGTGGCATGATCATGGCTCACTGCAGCCTCAACCTCCTGGCCTCAGCCAGTCCTTCTGCCTTAGCCTCCCAAGTAACTGGGACTACAGGCATGCACTACCATGCTTGGCTTTTTTTTGTTTTTGTAGAAAAGAGGTCTTACTATGTTGCTCAGGCTGGTCTTGAACTTCTAGGCTCAAGCAATTCTCCCACCTTAATCTCCTAAAGTTCTGGGATTACAGGCATGAGCCACCATGCCCAGCCCAAATGATAATTTTCTTAAAATTAAAAACAAATTCATGCTTTTCTCTACATTATTACTTGATCTTCCTGATAGTCCCTTGAGGGTTGGTGTGTATTCTCATCTTTGTTTTACAGATGAGAAAACTAAGACACAGAGGTTAAATGCTTGGCCAAAATCACGCAGGTAAGAATTAGATTATGCCGGGCGTGGTGACTAATATCTGTAATCTCAGCACTTTGGGAGGTGGAGGCGAGAGGATTGCCTGAGTTCTTGAGACCAGCCCTGGCCACTTGGTGAGACTACGTCTCTACAATAAATAAAAAAATTAGCTGAATGTGGTGGCATGCGCCTGTGGTCCCAGCTACTTGGAAGGCTGAGGTAGAAGGATCCCCTGAGCCCAGCAGGTCAAGGCTGTGGTGGCCATGAGCATGCCACTGTACTCCAGCCTGGGTGACAGAGTGAAGCTCCTACTAAAAAAAAAAAAGTTAGATTAAACTTTCATCTCCAATTGTTCATTGTCCTTCCAAGTATACCAAAAGTGACATGCTAATATGCAATATGTCCAACTGTTAATTAAAATAATTTCTAGCTTTTTTTATCTATAAATGTAACTTTCCTGTTTGGCTTTAACATGTACTATATCACAATGAAATAACAGCGTATCTCTTAATAACACTTTTGGTATACTTGGATTCATTCAACCATGAATCAAAAATATTTGGGGGAAAAAATTCCAGAAGGATACAAAAAGCAAAACATGAATTTGCTGTGCACTGAGCACTACACTGAATCCATGCAGAGAAAGTGATACCTTGGGTATTGTAAGTAATCTAGAGATGATTTAAAGTATACAGGAGGTTATGTGGAGGTTATATGTAAATGCTATGCCATTTTATATGAGAGACTTGAGGAGCCTCAAATTTTGCTATCTGGGGGGACTCCTGGAACCAATCCCCCCCCGATATTGAGGGATGACTGTATATATTCCTTATTCTGATATCTGAGACTGCTGCTAATGATACCAGATAATTAGTAGGTAATATATTTCCCTTTAAATATAGTTTAATAGGTCAGAGAAGAAGGGGAAAGATTCATTCAACAGCATCACAAACTGTATTTCCTAGGCATTTATTCATTTTTAAAGAAAATCTTATCGAATGCTTATTATTATGTGCCATGAACTATTTGAGGATACTAGTGAGTCAACAGGAAAGAAAACAGGCTAAAACCCTCCTTATATGGAGTGTTCTTCCTTGTTGAATTTACTGTGATTTATTTGTGTATTCTTTGGAAAGTTTTATTATAATCGCTGTAAAACTTGATGCTGAGGAAAGGACTTGAATTAAATATTCCTAAGCATCCCTGGACCATATATAAATAATTCTGTAATGGGGTTGTATTACAAATTCCAATAGAGCTATAAGTTTCGCTTATAGAGATTTATCCTAATTATTTGAGGATATTCTGGTTGGGCCAGAATCCTTTGGAAACTGGTTAAAATTCCCAAGGGCCCCTCCGTTTGGATTTCTGCAGCTGTGGATCCCCAGCCAACAGTTATTGTGATCTTCCAAGCAGGAGTGTGCTCTGGGCTGAAGTGGCAACTGGAGTTAAAGAGGCAGCCTGTGACAGTTTCTAACATCTGTCTTATTAGCCTTTGAGAAACAACTATAAAATAATCATCATAATGGTTACCAATTTATTGGGCATGTTTAATACTCACAGCATTTTAAGTGCTTTTACACATTATTACGTGATTTAATCCTTTAAACAGCCTTGTGAGGAAGGGCATCATTTTATAGGTAAGGAGACTGAGGCACAGAACCAAGATGTCTTAATGAGTGAATGCTAGCATATAGATTCAAGCCTAAGCAGTCTGGCTCATGAGCACTGCTCTTAATCACTTCGTTTTACTGTGCTGCATACTGGCTTCTAAAACTATGCTAATCAAATTAATGTTCTCCCCTCAGTGAAGCCACATTTAAGTCCATGATTATGCTAATAATTCTGACATGGATTGAAATTTTTTTTGGAATCCTCTTTTGGAATTACCTAGGTCATGTTACTTAATTTTCTCTGGAAATTATCTATAAAATGAGGGGACAAACCTTCACCACTGGAAATTGGATTAAATTTTTTGAACAACTATGAGAGTCAGTTTGAACAAGTTTAGAAAATAGAGGTCAACGATCAAGACTGACTTGGTGGGATATCTATATATATGTGAATAAGACCATCGATGGCAAAAAATATATATAATTTTTATTTACTGTTTTTGACTGTTCTTTCTTCTGTCTTGTTTTGACGCTTTGTTTTTGAGATATTTGTGAACACTGTTTTATCATTACTTGTGATTAGCTTCTAAGACTTTAAACTTAAGTTTGATCCTTGACAGCTGATTTTCTTTTTTTTTTTGAGTTGGAGTCTCACTCTGTTGCCCAGACTGGAGTGCAGTGGCCACTCCCGGCCACCGCAGCCTCGACCTGCTAGGCTC